GGCCAGACCACACGCACACGTTAGGGTTAGTTTGTCTTAATTAGCTGCTGCTGTGCCACATTCAGCAGACGCAACGGCAGCACAAAGTGCAACCCAAGCGTGCACGCGCATGTGCTATAGACACGGCAGCTGCACCAACAGCAAACAACAACAGCCGGGCCCCTATCGCTTACCTGCCCATAATATTTACGATCCATTGGTTGCAGCTAAGACTCAGCCACTTTACCCATTACCCGCCACCTATTTCCCATTTCCCATTTCYCACTCCCAGCTTCCCCATAATTGTGCAGTCATTCTCATCGTGCTGCTTAAAGTTCATCTTGTACGCATATATAGCAGCGCTATCGATACACACACACATACGCACACACATACTTGGCGTATGCGTAACAGAAAATGAAAAAGCAAAATGTTGGCGCCTGCTGGAGCTATACAAAGGGATTAAAGAACAAGTGCCACAAGAATGCCTCCCAAACTTAAGCTCTAAACGACACGCTGTGAATTCTGTAAAAACTTTTCTGACACAGCGAAAATTTGAATCAAGGGTCGCTCCTGGCAACCACGCCGCAGCTATTCACATACGCAAGACGACTTTTAAAGAGGGCTTTAAGGACACACAGCAGAATATTGTTTCAGCAACTCAAGTGCTTTCTATCAGATATGGATTTGTGTTGGATTGCTTTCTGTTTCTGTTTGCTGTTTCATTATACTTTCAATATTAGAAATGCAGATATTTCAAGTGTATGTATCATACAAGCATGTGTACACGTGTATGTAATTAATGTGATAACAAATAAAAAATAATTTATTAATTTTTTTTGTGTTATTCATTGCATTGAAAACATAACTAAAATACATTTAAAAAATAATTTGTTATATTATACTTTGTAATTAGCTGGAGGGGATCTCTAATTATAGGCATTTATTTATTACTTTACTAATTAATGAGTTTATTAATCAATTAGTTTATTATTTTTTAATTGGGCTCGACTAACTTTTTTTTTTTTTTTTGTATACAAATATTAGCAGACGTTTGCAATTAGTAAGAGTGCCCGACTGAATATGCTCCAAATAAAGCAAATAATTCTTTTATTGATAAGTTAATAAAGTTCCAAGTCTCTAGGTTATTGTTCTACAGCTACGTCTACTTTATACAGCCAAAATATGTGAGTTCGGTTTCAATGAGTAACTGATGAAGGTTTAAAAGTTAAATATTGTTTTATAGTCGGGAATCGCAAACTTCCCTAACCAAGGAGAAGTCAACCATAATTTAACTGAGGAGTTTTTAATTTCTAAAGCTTTACTTGATATAAGTTATTCCCAATTGATACAAGGTAAGTATTTCATAAAACCTATATGATTTTCTCATGGCCTCAAAGAGCATGAGAACCACTCAGAAGATAATTAAAAAGCTTTGAAACAGCTTAAATGAAAACTTATATTTTTATTGAGATGTTCTAAAAGTTTCCTGGCCAAACTTTCTAAAGAACCTACAAGCACTTTAAAAGTACTGTAAAAGAGAAATATGTGAAAGCATTTAAATTGAAACTTATAGAGACACATTTTAAAAGTTCAACTTTGTAGAAAAAAAGGTGAAATGACTAATAGATGCATGCATTTCGGACCAAGCTGATTAAATTAATTGCTACTGGTATACCAATATAAAGAATTTAAAAAGTATGTATTCGATCTCTATCCCTTAGTGATGTAGAATAGAAACAGAATTTTCGATATCACAATGAAGCAAAAATGAAACATAAATCTATTTAAAGGATAAATTCGATCTGCAGCAGTAAGCCTCTCCTTTTTCCTCTACATTTTCGTTGAATTTTGTTATTATTGATTACGGTGGGTGGGTGGCATACACAGAGCTATAAGCTGCCATCCGCGTATATCAGGACAAATCCGAGAGCTGGACTAATAATTAAATACGTATCGGGCAGCAAATAATGCAAATGCGTGCGGGGCTATGCGAACTTTGGTAAAATGAGCTGCATATTTTGGAGCATTTTGATCGGCGCTGGGAACGTTGATATTTGTTTTACGGCTCTCAATGGGGCGTGGCTGCGCTGAATGATTTGGTTTATGGTCGCTGCATGCGTTTAACAACACTGGCAGCAACAACGGTCGCAGTAGCGGACAAAATTGGCTGGCAGAGCGAACCTAAAAACATTGTTAAAATGCAGAGAAATTTGTAGATTTATAGCGCGCTAATCGCGGCCAAACAGCAGCGGAGAGGGGGCGTGGCATTTGAGGTGGGCGTCTATCGCAATGTTGGTGCTACGAATTGTATATTGTAATGGAAATTGAAATGCAAATGCCTGGCCTGACATTTACGAGTACAGCAGCCAGTGACAGCATCCACAACAGCGCCAGCAGCAGCAGCAGCAACAACAACAACAACAATTGCAACAACAGCAGCAGCAGTGAATGGAAAACTCTGCCAAAAAGTCACCAATAAAATGTTGCAACTAAATGCGGCGCCATTGTCATAGACGTAACTTGGCAGGCGGCAGTCGGGCTTTTGGCCAACATATTTTCAATTTGTAAATGCAAAACAAGACGCTGGCCACGCCCACAACAGCCAAGACAGCCTATAAATTTAGCAGCTCGCTGGCCTGCGGAATGCAAGCCGAGCGTAATTAGTAAACGAAACCATTCCAAATTCTTCGTTGCAATGAACTCAGCCCAGGCTTCGTTCCGGCCGGCCATAGCTCAGCTTTCTGCTTTCTGCTTTCAGCTTTCAACTGCAGGCCGTAAGCGTTTTACTACCCCATTATCTGACAAGTTGTGTCAAAGCTGTTGATGAGCATCTTTTATGACAGCCAACCGACGCCTTGGACACGCCACTGATGGCCACGTGATGAATGCAGCCCGCAGCGACAGCGATGACAGCGACTCATAAATTCAGCAAGCGCTGCTGCTGCTGTGCGAGCAATGGCAAGGGACGGCGAGGATGGAGCAGCTCTCATGTTGCAGTTACGTGAAATTGGTTAGCCTTCGATTTGCTGTCATGGATCGCTTCATGCTTTATTTCTATACACACACACACACACTCACACACATACATCTATCGCGATTTTTAAACCCAATAAATTCATGGAAGCTGCGATGAACGGTTTATTACAATCACACTAGAACTATGTCAGCTTATGGCTTCGTTAAAGGTTCATAAAGCACAAACGCTGCTGATGGCATAAGTCACTTTAAAGTTTTTGGCTAAGGAAAATGTTATACGCACCCTAGCTTGCTCTGACTTCATAATCAGATTGCTCCACTAGGCACTCAGCTGCCGCTAACTGCCGGCTGTAGTTTTGTGCTTTGCAGGTAAAGCTGCTGGCAACACAATGAAAGTCATTTTAATAAATTGACTTTTCGTGTTGTCTCAGCCGCTGTTTGGGTTTTGAAAATTTGTTAATTTTGCATCGAATTAAGACAAAATCTTCTTACACTGGCTTATGAAACTAAACAGCTCAACGTGCACAACCCTTTCACAGCTCAACAAATTGCTGTTGCTTCGGTTGCTTCTGTTGGGTCTGGTGCCTGAGCCGGAGCCGGAGCCAGAGCCTGAGCCTGGGCGCATCGGCAAGTATATTTTCGCATCGGAGACTGCCAGCAGCATTAACAGCAACAATATCAACAATAACAACGGCAACGACTGTTTTCAATGTTTCACCAAAGTTGATTGTTTTTGTTCATCAGCTGAGCCTTCTTCATATTTACTCCATAGACTATTGTAGACAGTTTTTCGGCCCCGCCCACTGGGCAGAAGCCAAGCGGCTGGGCGGCTGGGCCAGCTGAAAATCCTTTTGTAGCAACAATTTGCCGCGCAAAGATTAAAACTTTTAATTTGCTTTTAATTAATTAAGTTGAAAATCGCGGCTAGAAGTCACTGGAACCGAGCCACAACGCCTTTCATGCGCCTCAACAAGCGCCGACCGCCTCCGTTCCCCCATTCCACCTCCATTCTTGTCCCCTTCGAAGCAAATGTGCCACGCTTTTATTGTTTTACATGCTTCCCACAGCTCTGCGGAAACTTCGAGCGATGGCTTCTGGGAAATTAGAGTTGAATTCTGTTTGTGAGGTCGCTTAACTTCATTTGCCTGCGGCTTAGTTGCTGCCATTAAAATTCAACTTGATTCAATACGCTTTTAGGCCATCAAAGGCAACGGCTAATTGCCACTAGCCACTAGCGTAACTCTATTCAACTAAATTAATGCTTATCTACTATCAATATCTATCCCATCTCAATTTTCAATTTGCCATTTCTGCTAATATTCAACTTGCCTATTGGAACATGTTTTGGTCTATTCTCGAAATACAACTTTGAGAAACAAGAAATAAATAAATAATTCAAGTGCTTTTGCCTTTAAATTTGATTGATTCCCAAGCAAATATCTGAAATTTCGGTAGACTGAAAATTGTTTTAGTTTGTGTGGTTTGGCTTTATGCGTTAGCAAGCAATAGCTTCTGTTTTCTATTGAATAGCACCAAAAACTTTGGTACTCGCTTTCTAAAAATTTGTTTTAGTTTAGTTATGAAAGAGAAACAAAATACGCATTGCTATAAACTATTCAACAATAAAAAATTTAGCACTACTGGAGAAATGTCTCTGCGTTAAACAAGCAGTTCATGTTTTTCTTTAAATATGAAATATTCACCAACGAGAAACAATTTTTACTTGCTAATGATTCTGGTTTACAGTTTATTTTTGATGGAATCATTGATTGTATTATTTGCATCCTTCACTTCTTCACTCAATATGTGTTTAATAATATCAGTTAACTGTTATAAATGAAATTCGAGAACTTTAACAAAAAAAAAAAAAAAAAAAAAAAAAAAAAAAAAAAAAAAAAAAAAAAATCCCTTTAAAAAAAAAAAAAAAAAATAAAAAAAAAAAAAAAAAAAAAAAAAAAAAAAAAAAAAAAATCCCTTTATGAGAAGAAGAAGAATAAGCTGTCATATATTTTATAACATTTCTGGGACACATATGCTGTAAACGAAGTTATTTTTCAAAGCAAAGAAAATTCGTGAAAATTCCACGAGACATGCAACATAATTTGAAGAGCATTCGATTCTATTGGTAGTTGTTGTTGCTTTTGCTACAGTTCCTGCAGCCCTTTACGGCTTTTACGCCTCACTGCCAATTGGTGCTCCGCTGTTTCCTTACATTGTGGAATGCTGCAACTTTTCTGCTTCTAAGATGACTTTCACTTACACACACGCATACACGCACACATACATTCGGTTTTTTGACTGCGCCTCACGTGCCCTGCCGCTCCTTTGTGTGCCCAACGTGACGGAAATTAGCGTGGTGTGTGATGTGTCAGTGTGAGTGTGTGTGTGTGTAATCGCRACTTGGCGCCATATTTATTTTTCCACTGTGCTGAAGTTATGATTGTGCAAACACACACACACATACATACACACACTCACATATATTGGCACATGCCTATGCTCAGTGCGCATCTTTTCAATTTCAGAATTGTTGCTATGCACACACTTATTTCATGCTTTCTGTACAAACTGACTTGCTACGCCCTGAACCCCGGTCCCGGACCATAGGCCCCATGCCCCAGGCCCTAGGCCCTGAGCCCATGCCGCGGGTCCTCTGGCAATGTGATTGATGTTTGCACGAAAGCTAACCCGCCCGAAGGGGTGGCTCTTCCCGACTCCATCTGCTCTCCCTCGCGTTGCCAGCCGCAAACAAACATTTTACATTTGAGTTCGAGCCACTTTTGGTTCGCTGCTTCATTTTATTCAGCAGCCAAAACACGAAATTGCGCATATTTGCTTTCCTCTCACACCAGCACACACGCAGTACACTACCCGAGCTACACACACACATACACATACACTCACACATGCATAGACGTCATTCTTTTATCATAATTTTGGCATAGCACGCCTCATAAAATTTGTTTGCCAAAAACATTTTCACTTCATTTATTAGAGAGCAGGAAAACCAAATGCCGTCGCTCTTCCAAATAGCTGGCATTTAACAAATTGCATTTGGGCTTAAATTGTTTGTATTGCGTCTTTAACAGCAGGTGACGACCATTTCACTCATCTTGGCCACTTTGAGGAGCGCGAGCAAGTGCGAAAGAGATAGACATAGGCCGTGGAGACAGCTTTGTGCGTTAATTGCTTGAAAATGAAAACATGAAATTAAATGAAAACATTGTTGGACACAAGTGTCTTGCGTACATTACTCATGCGCTTCAGAAAACCGACAACCACCGCATGCAGGTAATTATTAAAACTTTCTGCCGTTGCCCTGGCGAAAACCGCAGCTTCACTCCCATATATCCATATTTGCTCAGGTTTCTGTGTGCCTCTGTGGGCATATGTGTGTGTGCTGGTGTGAGTGTGTGTGTGTGTCTGTGGATGTACGCATGTCGCAGACAATCAAGTAAATTTCTTCAATGGCTTCCAGGCCAGTGTTGCGTCGTGTGTGCATGAATATGGAAATTATATAGTACCTATCGGGCTGGCAGGAGCCAGCCGCTAGCCGTGTGATAAGTGACAAATAAATGCGCTTTCCATGTGCTCGTTGTCTACGTGGTGCTTGTCCTTGTCTGTTTATTCCTCGAGCCTGACCGGCCTGACAGATGCAGCAACTGGCCGCCGACTCTGCCCCCTGCCTGCGCGGCCATCGCCTGTTAAATATTGCAAAATATTTCACTCTACCAAACGATGCAATTATGAAAAATTCGCGTGAGCTTCATGCGTGGGCTGCAGCGAATGTGCGACTGTACGTCAGTGCGTCGCATGTGTATAATTTCGAGTGTTTTTCTACCGCAAAATTGCTTGCATATTTTAATGAAACTACCACATGACGGCTGCCCGGCTGACTGGCTGCCTGGCTGCCTGGCTGCCATCGGCCTGGACATGCCCCTGGTGAATGGGAAGCGAGGACTGTGGCCAATATTTGTTGATCTCGAGTCGTCGTTCGGTTGACACCACATCCTGACAGTCTGGCTGTCACAAAAACAAAAAACAAACAAAAAGCGCACCAAACAAACATCAAAGGCATATTTAATTAAGAAAATGTTATTCATTTTTTATTTAACAGAGAAGACAAACTCGCTCGCTTAATAGCGTGCGCAGCCATTGTGATTGTGACCTATATTAAAGAACAATTATGCCAGTGTTGATTAATTGAATATGTTAATCATATATACACACATGTGTCTATACTGAAAGCCAAATTAATAATTTCGAAAAGCCAGCTGAATATACATATATGGGCAGGAGGCTGGGTATTCAATCGCTAAGCACTCATAAGTGGAAGCTTTTCTGTGGAATTATTTCTGCTCAGTAGCCATAATTTCCCATAAATGCTTTCCAGATTAATCCAATAGAAACTATTGCACAGTTGTTACTCATCTCTTGCAATAGCAATAGCGATTGGTGCTAGCAATAGTCAGCTTAGAGTTTGTTAGGAAATCCAAATATGCATTGCAGCAGAGGCTGCATGAAAAGTTCATAAGTAGGAATTCTAGGCAAACTATGATCGATATATAAAACACTCAAAGCAATATTTAATATGAATATGTCCTTAATCTTGACAAAAGTGTAGATTTCATCTGAAAATTATTCTGCAGGCCTCTTTAATAATCATTTTTCACTAGGCAGATATATATACTATATATCTGAAGGTGAATTGCTGTCGCTTTATGACTCCCGCTACATTAATTAACTTAAAGACCACAAGCTATATTAATGAAAGCAAAGGGAGAAACAGTATTCTCCATGGAGTAATAAACTCGTACTCAATATGCCGTAAGCAATTGCATTTACTCCAAAGGGCGCTGGCCTGCTTAAAGCGCATCTTTAAATAATACGGAATCCATATCGATGGTAGGGATTCTCATCAGCTTCAATAGCTATTCATGAGCCAGTGATATTGCCAGCTAGTTTCTATGACGTCCACGTGACAACTTCTTTGGCGTGGCGGGCACTTGCCATGATAGCGAAAAAGCCAAATGAAAACACGTGACGCGATGCCAGCAATTGGTAAGCAACAAAGCTCCAGCTTTGAATTATGACCAACTGGGTCGCATACACAAGCAGCAGGAGCCTGAACAGGAGCATGGGCAGCCAGCATCAGGACCAAACGATGGAGCTGAAGCAACAGGAGTAAGTGCTGGTCCAGCCATGCTGGGGGGAGGGTTCAATGGCCACGTTTGCATTTCAATTTTTGGTTTTCTGCGCGTTTTTTCCTACCGAGATTTTGCACTAAGATAAAATCATAAATCAACGCTGAATCAGGTAAATAAAAATAAAGCTCAGAGTGCGTATGCAAATTGAACAGAATCTGAGCGACTGTGAATCTTTGCTTGAGATTCGCTGGCGCAAAAATATGATAAAACTTAAGACAGTCGAAAAGTTTTTGACTTTCCAAAAAAAAAAATAAACTTTTTTGCATAATATTGTTGCAGGGAACTTTGCTTTTAAGTAAGTAGACGACTTTGTGTTTCCATGGCATGAGTCAGTCTCTTTGTGTGTATGTGTGAGTGAGTGTTTTTGTGTGTGTGCGAGCTGGTGCTTGTGTTTGTACTCGTTAAGCGAATGGAAATACCCATCCGAGCAATTACTGTGTCGTTAATTAGCCCGAGCGCTAAACAGCATAGCTAATGCAAAAGCAAAACAGGCTACAACCAATGCACATTGCCGATAACTAGCGTTGGGAAACACAATGTGGGCTTCGATCGTTTTTCAATTTGGACTCGCTGTAAATAAGCTCTTTAGACCCATGGAAGCCATTGAAAATGGGAATTAGGGGTATCACTCTTTTCTGAAAATTTCTGTAACAGACTTCTGATGCCAGATACCTCCCCCAAAATGTACAAAAAAATAAAACAAGTAAGAAGTGTGTAACCGAGACTGCTCGACTAGGAGATACGCTGAAGCGTATCACACATAATACATAAATACACATGCATCCAAAGGCAAGTATAAGAACACTCTCTGTTAACTGCGCAGTAAGCAGCGACTGCGCTTGGACTGCGCTGTAGTATGGGCAATATTATTAGAATTTATTTGTTGAATAATTTATCTTGTAGTAGGACTATCTTCAGAAAGTGATCATATGGTTAAAATGTGTGCATTCCAAAACAGAAGTCGCTTGTACTTGAAATAGGTTTTTTTTTCAAATTCTGGCGAAGGGGGCGTGGTATAAAAAATCTGTAAATCTGGCAGGTCATTGACCTTGATAGGTCAATGACCTTGGGAGGTCAATGACCTTGGGAGGTCAATGACCTTGGGAGGTCAATGACCTTGGGAGGTCAATGACCTTGGGAGGTCAATGACCTTGGGAGGTCAATGACCTTGGGAGGTCAATGACCTTTGGAGGCCAATGACCTTGGGAGGTCAATAATGAAATAATAAAGAAACAATAAAATATCGGGAGTAGTTATCGATTTTGTGAGGATCCAGAAAACCAATTCAAGTCTCTAGCTCTTATATCTTCTGTTATCGCTGCGTTCATACGTCCGGACAGACAAGAATATATATATTTTAAGGGGTCTGCCACGCCTCCTTCTGCCTGCTACGTACATTTCAAAACTATTATACCCTGATTTCCCATTAAAAATGGAGTCAGTGTATTAAAAACAAAAAGTTAAAGGAAAAGTGTTTTAAATATTACAGACATAATTAGTTAATTAAATAATAACGTCTAGATATTTTCACAAGGAAATGCATCTGAAAAAAGTTATTTAATAAATTGAAAAGTTATTCAGTAAGCAGAGCATATGTTAATCTTATTCTCACTCTATAGTTTAATATTTCTTGAATAAATCATAATGTTTTAACTTATTTCAATTTTTGCAAACTATTGTAAGCAGTTTTACTAAGTAGGACGTAAATATAATATTAATATGTGGAAACATATATATAAATAATGAAAAAAATAAAATAAATAATTAAAACAACTATGAATTCACGGTTGTACTCTGTTCCCCATTTGACACACATGAAATMTATTAGGTATGAATAATAAAAATTAAATAATAGTTAAATAAGTGAAATGATAAGACTTAATTAATTGTTAATTTAGATTATTTAATTAGTGTGCGTCTCTCAGTTAAAATTTAAATTAAGCGTTTCATTGCTTCAATTCAAATTTAAATTCGGCATTGATCAATTGGTTTGATCTAACCGTTTGACAGTTCTCAATGGTTTTCCATTCCCATTCGGCAATTTTGACTTGGGATCAATTTCTGCTTTGGTTTGGATTTCGATTGGCTGGCTGTTCTTCTCCGAAACGTGGGTTCATTAGATAACCTCAAAATGCACAATCTCTGCCAGTTTCCGGAGGCATTTGCGTAGTAGGGTGCGGGCTGAAGCTAGTGTTGTGTGTCATGTGAGTTGCACTGAGCTGACTGCGGTTTTAATGTCTATCCAGTTGCATTTTGGCATTGCAGGCATTGCCTCCGAGTATGCAATATTTTTCCATGGACAAACGTGAATCACTGACTGCAGACAGACAGAATAGGAAGTCCTGAGCACAATAATGAACACATTTGTTTGCTTATTTGGGCTTTTGCCCGGATTCAAGGGCAGCGGGAAGTCGCATCAGAAGGATTTATTGAAGTCCCACCGGCAGATATGCAGAAACAGAACATTTCACAGTGTCGCCAACATATTACAGACCATATCAAGGCACCCACACAGCCTACCATTCGAAGCTGCATCAGTCCGAAAGCTGTGGCACTGCGGAAGCGGAAATGCAAACTACAATTCTTGCCTGGAACTCTCTGTCCCGCCCGATAAACAGCTCGACCAGCTCCACATGCGTTCAGGGCAACCAAAAAGTAGCCCTAATGAACGATTTTCAACTGTAACCTGTTCATTAACAAACTGATCACAGTCCAGCAGTTAAACAGCTTAACAGCTCAGATGTGACATTGAGCCAGAAAGCTCTCAGCTATTCCGGGCGTGAGTCCCACACACAAGCATAAAGAAGCCTAATAAAAGCAATGCACGAAGAAGAGCTACCGAAGATCAAATAATATGTCTATATGGCTGCAGCAGTATTCATTTAGTATGTATTTATGTTTAAGTAAAACAAAGGTAGAATGCATAAATTAGCAGAGAGTGTTCCCATTGGTCCCTCGGCTGTTCTCGGTGTTTCCATTGTTCCCTTGATGCTCGGCTACAACGACACCTACGAAGCTAATGAACGCAGCAGAGAGTCTTCCGAGTGGTCAGTAAAAGGTCGATTGTGACGATCTCTACTTGGTGCCGAGCTCAACAATTGAGCACAACTTACGCTCTGAGTAAAAGTCGCCCTATATAAAGAGCAGCAGCTGCAGTATTTCTTCAGTCAGTGCAGTGTAGTAAACTGAAGTGAAGTGATGTGAATGATCGTTCAGCTAAGCATTAAATGCTGCGTGAA